CTGGAGCTCCGTGACGTTCGTCGGGGACTTCCACTCCTGTATGGTCTTGATTTTCGCCGGGTCGATTTTAATGCCGTCGCGCGAGATGACGTGCCCCAAAAACTCCAACTCCTGCTTAAAAAACTCGCACTTAGAGCCCGTGGTGATGAGTCGGTTCTCCTGCAGCCGCTTAAACACTGCGTCCAGGTCACGGAGGTGCTGCTCCCTTGTCTTGCTAAAAATGAGGATATCGTCTAAGTAGACGATAACGCACCGGTCTAGAAGATCCTGAAAAACCCTGTTCATGGTCAGTTGAAAAGTTGAGGGCGCGTTCGTGAGGCCGAAAGGCATCACTGTGAATTCGTGACTCCCGTAGCGTGTACGAAACGCAGTCTTGTGACAATCGTCGGCGAAGACTCGAATTTGATGGTAACCGCCACGTAAGTCAATTTTTGAGAAATAGCGAGCGCCACGAAGTTGGTCGAGGAGGTCGTCGGTTCGTGGGATTGGGTAGCGAGACTTGATGGTGACCCTGTCCAGCGCGCGATAGTCGATACACATGCGAAGCCCGCCGTCTTTCTTCGGAGTGAACAGAATCGGTGCTGCGAAAGGAGATGTGGTGGCCCGAATGAACCCTTTTTCTAACAGTGCGTCGATTTGTCGTCGCAGCTCCTCGAGTTCCGGCTGGGTCAACCGCCACTGTGTCCGAACGGTTGGTTGCGCTCCAGGTTCTAGCTGGATTTTGTGGTCCTCAGGTCTCTCCGGTGGCAGTCCAGGTGGCAGATCGTCGGGGAAGATTTCCTGGTACCTCCGAATCAGCTCCGCTAAATCCGGGGGTACAACTGCACACAGCTTTTCGATGTCTTTTCCTTCGGTGTCGACTGCCAACTCGCGTAAACAAACGGCGAACAGCTGCGCGCCCCTGTTGAAGTGGCGAGCTATAGTGATGGCTTTGACGCACGGGGCTTGGATGTAGTCAGGGGTCCATGTAGGGAGCTTAATTAGCCCCTCGTGCTTGTTGATGCTGCACGTCCCCGTTGTCCAGACGATGACGGGGTTGTGCCGTCGCAGCCAATCGCGTCCCAGCAGTACGTCGTGTCAGAACTTATATTTGTAACTACCTGTAGCTGTAGTTAGTGTAGTTATTTAAACTTTGTTTGGTGGTGCACCTTATTTGTTTCCTTTGCTATATGTTCTTCGAAACCTATAGTGAAACATATTCTTCCCAACCTCTTTTCCAACTCACTCGAACCTCACCCTAGGCAAGAACTACTCGACACCTAATCTCGGGCCTAGGCTCCTAAGCCTAGGCCCTAGTTTCAACTTAACTCAATCCTCGTTCAACTATTTTCGACACGTCGCAGCCGTCCAATGTTGTCGCGAGGAACTTCATGCTGAAGCCGAAATCGTCGCCGCATTCGATCCTGACCGTCCGTGTTTCTTCCGTTATCGCGAGAGGCGTCCCGTCCACGAGGCGAGCGTCGACTTCGGGCAGACACCTGTCAAGTTGCAGCTTGCATTTTTTTGCGCTCGCCAAATTGAAGAGGCTATGACTGGCCCCTCCATCGACGAACATTTTCAGGTTATTTTTTAACACCTTACCAGCGACCAGTACAGGGTGATCCACGCGATTATCCCCGTTATTCGGCCGAGTGCGATCGATTGCATGAATCGGAACCACGACTCGGTGGGGATGGTGGGGTTCGGGCGACGGAGCACAGTCAGTAAAGGGCCCGCTAATTACTGACTCTTTCCATTTCCCTGCTCCTTCCTGTCGTTCCCCGTCAGTGGCGTTTTCTCGTGGCAATCTTTCATGTAGTGACCCGTCTTCCCACACCGGAAACACGGTCCCTTAGGAGGGCGGTCGGGTGTATGGACGGCGTTGATCGTGGTCCGATGGGTCTGGCCACGAAAACGGTTTCCCTCCCGGGAAGCTGCTCTCGCGTACTGCATCAACGCATCTGTGGACTCCGCCAACTGTACTGCTGCAAGAAATGACGTCGGACGGCCCCTGCGAACCTCGTACTGTATCTCGTATTTGAGGCCGCTGATGTATTTATCCAGCCGTTCAGCTTCCGACATGTCATCGACTTGGTCGGCGAGGCTCATAAATGACGCCGTGTAGTCTTGGACAGAAGCCATCTGCGACCATGCACGCAGCTTCATGCGAGCTTGCTCCAAGGCGGATACGTGCTCGAAGCGACCTCGTAAGGCTGCGCCCCACTCCTTCCACGTGCGTATCGTGGTCACTCCGAAGATCGACGTTGCCACTTGATTAATCACTGTAGAGGTCCCGTCTGCCGCATGTGTCACACTTGTCGGCGTCCCTGTTTCCAAGGTTCGGCGCCACCACTCAAGCGCTGCACCTCGAAGAAGCGAAACTGCGTAATTAATACGCGTGGCGTCGTCATTAACTCCGGCTGCAGTAAAAAAGACTTCGACCCCGAACAACCACCCTTTTACCGTAACCGTCTTGTCCGTAGGATTAAACGGGGGTGGATTGACGGGCTTGATCTTGATCGTTGTCACCGCAACTGGAGCTGCTGCCGCTCGCTGCCTATCCTCCTCTTCGAAGTTACGTGTGAGCGCATCCAATGGATTGCTCATCGCCTGACTGTTGCCCTCGCCTTCGTCCACAGGCGACTCCTGACGCGCTTCACCTCGCGTCTGGCGTAGTTCGGCGTTTTCCTCTCGTAGTGTCGTCACTTCCGCCATTAACGTCTTCATTCTTTCCTGCATTTCTGCCACTTGCGCCATCATCCTGTTGACCGCTTCCTGATCCATATGCCTAACGCTACGTCTGGTGGGTAATCGGGTCTCCGTGGCCTTCAGACAAATGAAAACACAAACTATCGGAGACGGGCAGGATTGAATTAACAATCCCTGCAGGCAACCGTCGTGTAGTCACTAAACCAACCACACCCTATGCCACCAAACTACCCTCAGAAAAGCGGGGTGAATTAGGAAAGTAGCTCTGATACCAGGTGTTATGAGTTGTAAAAGAGAGTGCGCAGGTAAAACGAATAACGAAGCTGTGACTGAATCAACAGCGAATACAATGAATGCACAGACTAATGTAGGACTACTCTAGCTAGGAGGAAACCTCGGACGAGCGAGGTTGGGTGCAGGTTTGGCGATGGGAAAGCCGAAGGCGACGTGAGTAGCCTCGGCAGCGTTGAATTCGGCCGAACGTGCGAACTCCGAAAATCGGGTTGTACGCGAAGCAGTCAACCCCGATAAGGAATTCGGGAAAATTCCTTACACTAGCATACACCTTATTTCTCCAGTTCATTCATCTAAAGTTGGAAATGCCTAAAACACAGCAATCGTACTTAAGAGATAGTATAGAAAGTAGAAATCAAGTGTCATTTAAATTCTGGATTTGTATTAATAAAATTTAACTGTACGAATGAGTTCTGAAAACAAAATGATGTGTGACATTTTAAATGGATCCTCTCACAAAACTTGCACTTGAAATGAACGTTGAGGTTTCGGTTGTAAGCATATCATCATTTCATGTATCCAGTTTCAGAGCAAGAGTCGTGCACGCTTCGCTTCCGCGTCGCCTGCTTTTGGCGAGTTTTCCGCCACGTCCAGCAGGGATGGTGTGCGTTTTGTAGTTTGCGACACTTCCTCGTGAACTTGTTTCGCTGCGCCTACATGATGTTGCGAAAAGCACCGAACTGGTTTTGCCTCTCGCACTGTTGGCTTCGCAAACCTGCATTCCGAACAAGCTCCCCAAACCCGACTTGGGTTCCCCTTTTTCCCTGCACGTCACGGCTCTACCTCCCCTTTTTCCCTGTTCCAATATCGAAAGGCAGCGCCCAAGTAGTAGCGAAGACTGCGCCTCTGCCTCTTCCTCAGTTCGTTCCACCGCCGCCCTCTCCCCTTTCCCCCCCTCCTTCCGCCCACCCCTCTCTAAAGGCAGTCTAAAGCAAGGCGTTTTCTGGTGAGGCGCACGGTCCCACCGCCAAGCTGCCCCACCAACCTTCCCCCCTCCCCCCTCCCCAACTTGCAGTAGCCGTCTGCGGCGGAAACTGGAATAGCAGCGCGGCGGGGCCGTAGACTCTGGGAAAGTGGAAGATGGTCGGTCAGTTAGTTTGGGAAGAACAGTGAACAGTGCAAATAAGCGGAAAGGCGGAGCGCTAGCAATGTAGAGGGGAGGCGATGGGAGGGGAGGGGAGAGGAGGGGCAGGGAGGGAGGGGACTGCACTGCAGTGCACCCCCTGCAGCACCAGTAGAACAGAGCAGCACAGCACGCCGAATGTGGAAAAAACGCCCCACCCACCACCACTACCACCACCCCCCTTGACTTGGCTCGCTGTTTCCTCCCATCCACCCCATCACATCCCATTTCCCTCCCCAATCATGCCGTCCATTCACCCTGCTCGCCTCTGCTGGTCCTCACCTGGCAAGCATCCGTTTTGCCACACCAAGAGCAAAACGTTCCGGCACAAACCGGGGGGGCGTTTGCTCCTGCCTAGGGTTCATCGAGTTGACTAGAGAGCATCGAGTCGACATTCACGCCCCTCCCGTGCCCAGCTTACACACATTGAACCACTATCTCTATCTGCTAGCTCGCGAACTAGGTCTACACACACATTGAAAGCCCAGCACTAGTCGACAGAGATACATGGAATGGAGAAGGCTTGTCGTGACCCGCCGCACCAGCCGCCGCGTTAGCTGCAGTCGTAGCGCGAGGCTGCGATGGTAGCAGACTCGTTTAGCGCCAGCGCCAGCAGCAGCAGCGCCACCACTAGCCGCAGCAGCAGCAGCAACATGAGCTCGTCTGTGGCCCCTTGGTGGACCACCCTAGAAGTAGGCCCTTCCGGCACGTTACTATATCGCATACTCTTCTTAGACGCACAGTACCGCGCTTTCTCCCCCTGGCACGATATTCCTCTGCACGTCTCCGAGTATCCTTCCAATGCCGCGCCTCCCTCCGCGTCCGCCGCAGCCGCCGGTTCCGCGCACCCTCCGCCATCGGGCCTGTCGTTTCTCTGCGTGACCCCGCGGGGAACATGGGCGACGTACGAAGTGGCGCAAGACGAGAATTTTAACCCTATTCGCCTCGCGAAGCGCAATGCCGCGCCAGCGCATTTCGCGGAGAATTGCCACTGGAACCTCGGGATTTTCACGCAGACATGGGCTGATCCCGCAGCGGCCAACGAGCACCTCAGCGGCTTGCACTACGACGCCCGGCCCCTGCACGTCCTCGATATAAGCCGCCGCGCTGCGCGCCCGGGCGACGTGTACCCCGTCAAGCCACTCGCAGCCTTCGCTGTAGTCACCCTCGCCGCACCCGGCGCCGCAACGTCCTCCGCTGCAGCCGCGCCAGAAGCGTCGCCGAGCGCGTTCGCCGGCTCGGGCGCGGGAGCAGGGGGTGCGGAAGCGGGGCCGCCGATGTGCGTGTCGTGGAATGTCGTGGCAGTGGCGAGCGACGATCCTCTGGCGAAGGAGCTTCAGGACGTGGCTGACGTGAGCAAGAAGCTGCCAGGAGTGCTGGAGGAGATTCGCGAGTGGCTGCGACTGTGCGAGTGTAAAGAATCAGGTGGGAACCTGCTCTAGCAAGGTTGGCTTAATAATTGTCTGTGTTTTTTAATTTTATTAATTTATTTCCCCGGCTCTGGTTCGTTTGCTGATGTTTTTTCTCCTCGAATTTTTATGCACAGTCTGGTATGCGTTTCTTCTCCTTCTCAAATCTGTTTTCGCTGACGATACCGTCCTGTAGCAGCGCGCTGTAAGAAGCGGAGCTTCTCGTATCTAATTGCCGTTCGTTTATTCGCGATCATGTCGTATATTTGCAGTTGATTCTGCGTGCTCGCTCTTCCCACATACGTCTTTTTATCGTAGCGTGCGACGTCTCTTTTGAAACGCGGAGCAGAGGCAGAAAGAGCAAACCTTAGCAAAGCAGGGCCCCTGCTAATTCTGCGCGAACTCTTCCGTTAGTCGATTGCAAACAACGAGTAATAAAGATGTGTTTTGCACAACACATGCAGTAGGTTATTCAACGGAGCTAAAAAAAATCACACACACACACACACACACACACACACACACACACACACACACACACACACACACACACACACACACACACACACACACACACACACACACACACACACACACACTCACACACACACACACACAACAACAACAAATCACGATTTTTATCGCCCTCGTCGTCCTCCCATGGTCCATCGTGCAGCCCTGCGTGCACATTGTCCTTATTTGCTACCCCTCAACTTCCCACCCCTCCAGCCCCTTATTTGCTACCCCAGCAGTTCTTATTTGCTACCCCGGCCGTTCTTATTTGTCACCCCTGCCGTCCCTTATCTGCTGGCCTGCCGTCCCTTGATACCCTTGCCGTCCGCTGCCACCCCTTATTTGCAACCCCCTCTACCTTTTAATAACCTCGCCCTTATTGCCACCATGTCCTGTCCATGCGTGCTACCCCTGCGGAGCCCTATTTGCTCTTGTTGCCCCCTCGTAGCTACATCTGCCTTCCCCTGCAGTCCCTGATCTTCTATCCGTGCCGTTCTCTGTTATTCTCTGCCGTCCTTTGTTTGTTACCCGTGGCGTCCCTATTTTCCGCCAGACCCATCCCTTGTGTTCTCCTACCGTCCCCAATTTTCTGCTCCTGCCGTCCCTAATTTTTGTGCCCCTGCCGTCCCTTATTTTCAATCCGCACCTTCGCTTGTTTGCTGCCCCAACCGCCCCTGAATCGCCACCCCTTCAGTCCCTAGAGTTCCTGCCCCTGCCGTCCCTTGTTTTCTGCCCCTAGCTGTTCCTAAATTTTACCCTTACCGTCCTTTTAATTCCTACCCAACCGCCCCTCCCGTCTTTCTCCAATTTTCTACCCCTTACCATATTTGCTGCTCCTCCCGTCCTCTGTTTTCTACCCCTACCGTACCTAATCGCTACCTATGAAGTCCCTAATTCTACGCCCCTGCCATCCTATTTGCTACTCCTGCAGTCCCTGATTTTCTGCCCCTGCCGTCACTACTGCCCCTACCGTCCTATTTTTTATGCATCTGCCGGCACTTATTTGCTACTCCTACCGTCCCTAAATGTTATCCTTGAAGTTTTTTTCTTTTTCTGCCCCCAGCCGTTCCTAATAACTACCGCCGCCGCCGCTTATTTTCAATCCTCCCCCTGTCGCTTATTTGCCATCCCCACCATCTCTTGTTTGTTAACCCCCCCTTTTAGTTGCTACCGCTGCCGTCCTATTCTTTCTGCCCCTGCCGTCTCAATTTTTTCTGCCCCTGCCGTCCCGTTTTTTCTACCCCTCCCGTCCCTAATTGCTACCCTTGCCGTCCTGATTATCTGCTGCTTGTCGTCCCTTGTCGGCCGCTTTTTCCTACCCTTGCCGTCCGCTGCCGTCCCCCCTTTTTTTCTGCCCCTGCCGTCCTGTATTTTTTCGCGCATCGTCGCGCCACAAGCGCCTTGGAACCCCCACCGTCTCCGCCGATTTCATCGCGCCCATCCGTCCTGCAAGTACCAGCGCCCTTACCTCTCGTCCGTTCCCTCACTCCTCACTCCACTGGCCTCACTCCTCTCTCCACTCTCGTCCCGCCATGCGACAGGCGACGAGGGGCGCGTGTTCGGGTTCAACGACCGCGCCTTGGGGCGCAAGCACGTGGACGCGTGTATCGCGGACAGCCATGCCGCGTGGCAGCGCCTCCAGTCGTCCCTGCAGAAACCCGAGCCGTGGCTGCCGCGCGCGCAGCCGCCCAAGGTGACGACCATCGAGGCGTTCTGGGCGCCGTACACGAGCAAGTATAGCGAGGGCGCTTGTAACGCGGACGACGGGTCCCCCGCGGCGATCCCGCAGTCGAACCCGAACGCGGGTTCGGTCGGCGCGGCGAGCCTGTCGCCGCTTTCCGCGGCGGCGGATTCCCCGTGGGAGACCATGCCGGCGGCCGCGGCGCGGTCGATGCTGGCGCAGCTGCGGTCGCGGAAGCACCTTGCACGACCCGCGTTCTTCGCGATGCGCGAGCGCCTGGAGATGGGGGACGTGGGGAAGTTGGCGGGCAAGGGCGCGGGGAAAGCGAGCAAGAGCGGCGGAAGGAGCAAGGGGAAGAGCGCAATTGGGGGAAGCGGCAGGCGGGATGCGAGCGGGGAGAGCGGAGGCGGATCGTTCGGGCTGTTCAAAAAGGGGCATGGGCATGGTCTTGTGCAGAGTCCGAGCGGGAAGGGGCTGGGAGGTGTGGCCGCGTCCGCTCCCCCCAAACCAACAACCCCCCCGCCCGTGAAGGCGGAGCCAGGCGCGCCCGCCGCAGCAGCGGTCGCGCCGGGGGTTGGCGCTTCCCCTGCTGCTCCCGCTGCTTCCCCCGCGGCTGCCGCTGCTGCTGCGCCAGCAGTGGTGGGAGTAGCGGCCGCTGGCGCAGTGGCAGCGGCAGCAGCGGCAGCGGTAGCAGTAGCGGGAGTGGGAGCGGGAGCGGGAGCGGGAGCGGATGGAGCAGCAGCGGGAGTGGCCGCGGAGGGGGTGGGCGGAGCTACTGGGAGTGCGATAGCAGCGGAAGCGGCGGGAGCGGAACCGGCAAAAGAGCCTTCCGCAGCAGCGGCGGCGGCGTCAGGGGCGGCTGCAGCAACGCCAGCCGAAACGCAAGGCGGCGGCGCAACGTTCCCCGCAGTAGCAGGCGCGGCAGCAGGGCTAGCGCCAGTGGGGAAGGGGACTGGCGGAACCGAGGAGGGGGAGAGGCGCAGGAGCGGCGACGGCGGAGTGACGGGAGGCGGAGCGGAGGGGATTGGCGCGGAAGCAGAGAGCCGCGCTTCCGCGGAGAAGGTAGAAGGCGGAAGCCGGGATGACGGGGAGCGGACGCCGCAGAAGGGGGAAGGTGATGGCGAAAAGGCGGGCGGAGGGGAGGCGGAGAGGGGGAGGGGGAACATGGAGGGGCCGCGGAAGTCGGAAGATGGGGAGACGGGGCGGGAGGGGACAAGTGACGAGAGGGGGGGAAGGCAGGAGAGAAGTGGGGAGGATGAGAGGAATGGGGAAGATGGGGAGCGGAATGAGAGGGGAGTTGGGGGGAGAGGAGGCAGGGAGGGAAGAGAGGGGAGGGAAGGGAGGGATGGGAGGGGCGCGGGTCGAGACGAGGAGGGACGGCGGGAGCGTGGCACGAGCCAGGATAGGCGGATGGGGGACGGGTATGGGGACGGGGATGCGGAGGGTGAGGGCAGGGGAAGAGCGCGGGACGCGCAGGACAGGCGGGATTGGCGCGACGGGCGGGACGGGCGGGACGGGCGGGATGGGCGGGACGTGGGGGAGAAATGGAGTGGGCGGGAAGAGGGAGGGAGGCGGTCGGAGAGGGGGCGAGAGCGTGAGAGGGAGAGGGAGAGGGAGGAGGATAGAGAGAGGGAGAGGGAGAGGGGGAGGGGGAGTGACAAGGAGCGAGCGAGAGAAGGTGGGTACAGGGCAGATCGGGGGAGGCAGGAACGGGAGGAGAGGCAACAGGACGATGGATACATCGCCGAGGAAGGGGACGGGGAGGTGGAGGGGGAGGGGGAAGGCGAGGGGAAGGAGCAAGAGAAGCAGTCAGAGGAGCGACTGGGTGACTCTGGGGACCGGAGGGAACGAGGGGAGCGGGGCGAGCGGGGGGAGAGGGCGGGGAGGAGCTATGGGCGCGCGGGGGAGGAGGGGGAGAGGCAAGGGCTGGTGCGGCGGGACTCAGATGACCGTGACAGTGGTGGGCGGCGGGTGGGGGGGGGGAGGGGCGCGGGGGAGGGCCGCGGAGGGGGAGGAGGCGGAGGGGGAGTACAGCCGGCAGTCAACACAGGAGAAGGGCGGCCCGGGACGACCAGCCACGGTACGTAGCAGGCACATAGCAGACACATGGGGGGTTGTTCACTGTTGCAACCTGGACATAGTTGTGTGTAGAGAAGGCTGCTGCTTGCGTGCACAGCTGCTTGTGCACTCTTGGCTTGCGCACTCTTGGCTTGTGCACTCTTGGCTTGCGCACTCTTGGCTTGCGCACTCTTGGCTTGTGCACTCTTGGCTTGCGCACTCTTGGCTTGTGCACTCTTGGCTTGTGCACTCTTGGCTTGCGCACTCTTGGCTTGCGCACTCTTGGCTTGCGCACTCTTGGCTTGCGCACTCTTGGATTGTGCACTCTTGGCTTGCGCACTCTTGGCTTGCGCACTCTTGGCTTGTGCACTCTTGGCTTGTGCACTCTTGGCTTGCGCACTCTTGGCTTGTGCACTCTTGGCTTGCGCACTCTTGGCTTGTGCACTCTTGGCTTGTGCACTCTTGGCTTGTGCACTCTTGGCTTGCGCACTCTTGGCTTGTGCACTCTTGGCTTGCGCACTCTTGGCTTGTGCACTCTTGGCTTGTGCACTCTTGTTGCAATCTTGTTCCTTGTGCCATGTCTGCTTCTTGCACTCTAGGTTTTGCGCGTTTATGCCATTGTTTTTGCGTGCAACACGTGTGGCACATGAGCACAGAGGACTGGGGAATCAGGAACAGCAGAGAAGGAAGGAGGAGTAGAGTAGAAGGTGCAGTGCAGGGGGGGGAAGCACGGGAGGGAGAATGCACGGTGCAACCTAAAGCAGAACAGGACAGAAGAGAAGAGAACAAAAGCTCAACCGCACCATTGCAAGTCAGCCCTCCTCGGTCCCACCGCTTAGCTCTCTCCCGGACCCCTTTCCGTTTCCTCACCTCTCCTTGCCTCAGTGCACATGTTTCCACACATGCAGAGTGATTCCTCCTTGCATCATGCATCCCTCCCCCCTCCTCCCCCAACACAACCGTCCGTCTCCCTCCCACCACCCCACCTTCCCCTTTCCCCTTTCCCCCTTACACAGGAGGGTCAGAGGCGCCTTGCAAGGCCGGGGGCGACATGGGCGAAGCTCAAGTGGCAAGAGAAGGACGGCGGCGCCGCAGACAGCAACGACACCAGCACCAGCAGCCGCTCCCCCGCCTCCTCCTCCTCCACCTCGCGCTACTCCTCCCACCACCACCACCAGAACGGCCGCGACGGCCGCGAGGGGGGGCGCGAGGGGGGGCGGGAAGGCCGTGACGGGCCGCGCAGCACCACGAGCACGAGCAGCAGCCTGATGGCGCAGCGAGAGGAGCTTCGTGCAGAGCTCTTCCAGAAGTCTCTTTCTGGGAACCGTGCGCCTCTCCCCACGCTTGTGCGCCGCGCCAGCTTGGAATCTGCTGAGCCAGGTGGGTCCCGGGGCCCGAGGATCCGCGGGCGGCCGGGCGGGGCGCGCATGCTGCACAGAACGCTCACGGAGGAGCAGCAGGAGGAGTCGCGCGGGTCGTACGAGGAGCGGAGCGCGGACGTGCGGGATAGTGCTCTGTATAGGACTCTATCCGGGCAGAGTGGGCAGCCGGAGGTGCATGGGATGACGGGGTATAGACGGGGGATCGGCGGTGGGGGTCTGGGTGTGGGTCGCGAGGGGAGCAGATGGGCGCCGGGAGGGGGAGGGGGAGGGGGAGGAGGGCTTGGGGGGACGCTTGGGCGGAGGGAGTCGGGGGAATGGTCGGATGAAGGGGGGCTGTCCGGTGGAGAGGGGTCGGGTCCGGTGCTGCAGCGCACCAACACGAATGATAGTCTCAAGTCGGCGGGGGTGCGGAGCGAGGCAGGGATCAGCATAGGGCGTGCTCCCGCTTATATGATGATGCGTGATGGCGGGGGGTACATGAGAGACTCAGGGCTTGTGAGGGATAACAGCGGGGGAGGAGGAGGAGGTGGGGGGAACCGGCTGCTGCGCAAGCATTTGAGCGGGCAGGGGATGAATGCGTTTCATGGGGAGGAGGAGATGGAGGAGGAGAGAGGAGGGTGGGGGGGCCGGGGCAGACGGTACGAGCATGAGCGGGAGAAAGGCGGCGGGGAGGGTGGACAGGGGGATATTGGGCGGGACCGCAGGCTGAGTCCGGCTCGCATGGGGGAGTATGATGGGAGGGGCGGGAGAGGTGGTGGCGGAGGGAGGCGTGCGAGAGGGGAGACGAGGGAGGGTGGGATTAGTTCTGGGAGCATAGGAGGAGGGGGAGAGAGGGGAGGAGAGAGGGGAGGGAGGGCGGTGTCTCGCAGCCCGCGAGGGAAGAGAGGGGAGGAGGATGGAGGGGGGTGGAAGGAGAGAAGGGAGGAGGAGGAGGAGGATGAGGGGAGCCCGAATTTCAGTCCAGTGAGGGGCATGGGCAAGGCAGGGGTTGCTGCTGCTACCAGGAGGGAAAAATGCCAGGACTGAGGGGGTAAGGGGGGAGGGGACGAGTGTGTCTGTCAGTGGGAAGTTACGGGACTGGGTTCCATGAGGTGAGGCGGCAAGACTCATAAGTAGCGGGCAGTTTTTGTTGTCTGGTGTAGTATCTGTTGAAGCCAGCTCACGGTGCCATTGTGTGGTTTGGTTGTGATTCATAGGGTTTGGATGACCCATGTTCTAGTAGTCAGGCTGATTAGGTTTCATTTGAGTAAGCACTAAGTAAGCTACTTGATTGTGCAGGAATGTGGGTTTGGTGGTAGATATGGCATGTAGAGGTTTTATGATTATTATTGCACTTGTAGACACTCTAGGTCGCTGTTATTGTGCTAGTTATGCTTTGTAGTGGTGAACCTTGTCCTCTGGTGTCTTATAAACGCATTTTGGATGATATGTGAAGGATGGAGTAATACACAATTTGGGGTAAAATCAGTAGGCGGTCTTGCATGCCCTAGTCACTCGGGCGTGTACTCTTCAATCATTCGCAATAGCGCGGAAATGCACAGCCTCGGACCCTGGACACGTGTCTGTCTCCACAAAAGTGGGGTCGAGTGCTGATGCTGGATTTGTCAGCGGGCAGGCGCGATTACAGCGAGATCTCTGCGACCTAGCTCTAGAGTGTGCGACCGACTGCGTAGCAGACGAAACGTGGTCACTCGTTTGCGGTCTGTTCGTCGTCGGTTCGCCTGTCGAATCGCCTTCGTCGTCGTCGTCGCCGTCATCCGGTGTTGTGTTGCGTGTGGCGCAAGGGCACTCTGTGCGAGCCAAGCTCGATCGCCAGATTCAATTCGACTCGTCAGGAAACGAGATATTCGGGAAACACATATTTCGCAGAGTTCGCGAATCCCTTCCAAGCCAAGCCTAAAAGCTTCGATCTGCTTCCACACTATTCTCTACCTCTCTTCTCTAGAGACATTCGGCGAACTTCTAGAGATTCTGCTCTTTCAGATTATCCTTTGCTATTTTCCCTGCGGAGCGCGTTCAAGTCGGGCCCTTACCGTGTGTTTTGAGCGTCCGGATCACAGTTGAAGCTTGACGTTATGGCCGATTCGCTATCCGCCGAGACCGCCGTACCGGCAGCGTCTTCTCCGTTGAAGGAGCGTCCTTTCGGCAGGACGAAATCAGTCAGGGAACTGCTTGGTGGCGGCAAGGGTAAGAACAACGAGTTATTTGCCAACTTTCCCGAGCAAGCATATGCACTTCGATTGCCTGTTCAATCTACCTTTGCGGACCGTTTCAAGGTATAAATCTAAACTCAAATCCGCGTTCTTTCCATCCCGCGCGATCTGTGATCTGTATTATTCGAATTACTTTCTCTTCCAGCCGCGGATGTGCTATTATGGAAGGACTGGAAGGCGAGTGCGGGAATCCTGGTGTCGGTCGCGGGTCTATGGATCGTGTTCGAGCGGTCGGGGTTCACGCTACTCACGGTTCTCGCGGACGTGCTCATGATTCTTATCTCGCTCGTCTTCGCCTGGGCTCAAGTGTCCTCGCTTCTTAACAAGTACGCCCTCCGCCTACGCGCCTTGTCCACGCTCTCCCCTTACGCGCTCTGGCTTGCTCTCTCTGTCGACGATCTCTATCGACTCATCAATGTTTTAGCCTTTCTAATCGGCATACCTTGTCTTAACTTTCGCCGTCAAGACGTCTCATCGTCTCGTCGCCTTTCAGTCTCGCCGTTCCGCCGCTACCGCAGCAAGTTACCGCCTCATCCAATCTTGTTCACCAAGATCGGCTGTAATCTCTCTTGCGGATCGATTGTGGCTTTTCTTTTCCCGCGCCGCTCCTTGGATCTGCGCAGACCGGGTCCGCCCTTCCCCGCGCTGAGGCTATCCGAGGACGCGGTGCGCTCGACGGCGCTGCGCCTGCGCGATCACGCCAACAGGGCGCTGCTGCTCGCGCACGACGTGGCGCTGGGCAAGGACTACATGCTGCTCGTCAAGGTGGGTGGTGCAGCCGCTTACGTGTGCAACGAATCGTGTTCTCATGTCTAATTTGCACGCGTGTGAGTTGCACGACGTGGCGCTGGGCAAGGACTACATGCTGCCGGAGTCCCAAACAGCCCAAAAGTGCCTCAAGCTTCCTAACTTTGAAAGGGTGTTGCTCTGCTGCTCTTCAGTCCCACTGAATCACTTGGCCCTGCCTGTTTTCGAAAGTTCGCACAGCAATTGCGGTGACAATGACGAAAGCCCCAGTCGCACGAACAAACCTAAACAAATTCGTGAACCCAACCTCCTCGTCATCCAATTGTATTTCTCTACCCAACCCGAGAAAGAACTACGGTACATGCTGCGTGTCAAGGTACCGTAAAATTCTCTCGTGAAGGTGACAGTTACTCATGTTTATACATATATAGAACCGTGCGTGTGGCAACTAGCGCACGGTGTAGCGTCGGGCAAGGCTAGATGTTGCTCGTCAAGGTGCTGCGCCCGCTCTTCCTCGCCCGCTTTCCCGCGCCTGCCCTTCCGCATCCTCTCTCCGGTGCCCGCCCTCTCTTGCGCCTCCTCTCTCCGTGCCCCCCTCCTGACCTTATCGCTCCCCCCCTTCTGCGCGCATTTTTTCCTATCTTCATTTGTGTGTGTGGCAGGTTTTGAGCGGGCTGTATTTCGTCTCCGTGGTGGGAGGGTGGTTCCACTTCCTCACTCTCGTCGTCATTGGTATGTGTCATGTCATGCCGCCCACATGCTGCCTTCATTCCCACATGTCTGTCCCCCATTCTCCCTTGTCAAGAAACATAAGAACTCACTCATATGAGACCCTGGCTTCTCTCCACTGCCATTAATCCCCTTCCCTCCCTCTCTCTCCCTTCCCTCCCTCTCTCTCCCTTCCCTCCCTCTCTCTCCCTTCCCTCCCTCTCTCTCCCTTCCCTCCCTCTCTCTCCCTTCCCTCCCTCTCTCTCCCTTCCCTCCCTCTCTCTCCCTTCCCTCCCTCTCTCTCCCTTCCCTCCCTCTCTCTCCCTTCCCTCCCTTTCTCTCCCTTCCCCCCTTCACCCTTCACCAGGTATGCTCGCAGCCTTCACAGTGCCAGTGCTGTACGACCGGTACAAGGATCAGGTGGACGAGCATCTGGGCCAAGCTCTGGCGCAGATTAAGCAGGTGAAGGGCGTGGTGGAGGACAAGCTCGGAGGGCTGCTCAACAAGCAGAAGCAGAAGAAGATGGAGTAGAAAGGGGTGTGGGCGTGGTGGAAGCGGTTGGGCTGGGTGCTGTGGTGCGGGAATGGTACCCTGTAGTAGTGGTTTTCCTGTACAGGTTGTAGAATGTGGTTGTGTGTCTGTATTAGAAAATCTGACCGTGATACACAAACAGTTCTTGATACACCGTCTGTCGCGGCCTCTGCGCCGCCCGTCATGAAGTATGGTAAAAACCTCAGATTGAGTGATAAGTTACAACTGAACTGACATATTTTTCACGCATATAACTCATTACCGTAACTCGTTACTGCAGTTAGCTGGGATATGCTATGCAACCTATGCTTCCCGGACAAACTCCTGAACGGCTATGCCTGTGTGCCGTGCTGCGTTTTGCTGCACTGCCAGCAGCACCTGGTCTCCCTCTCTCAACTCACTCACTGACACTGACCCTGTTGCTGCCGCCTTGGATGCTGCAAGAGGGAGGAAGTAGGGCAGGTGGAAAGCAGGAGAGTAGGAATGGGAAGAGGCATGGCATGGGGTGTATGTGAGGAACGTATGTGCAGGCATGCAGTGTACGTGTGTGATGGATGGTTGTATGTGTGCACTTCACATGCATGAGTTTGGAGGATTGGGCAAGCAGACAGGCAAGCACGGCGGGTGCATGGTTGCATGCAAGTTGTGGTTAGTAAGAAGGCATGGGTGGGATGCGATGTGGCAAGAGCACGGACCGGAGGGGTCTAGTGGAGAGACGAGGCGAACGGTTTCAGCATTCTGAAGGATTATGGAGAAGCTGTCTTCATGGCCTGGTACCTGCAGAGCAGTAGTAAGGACGCAAGGGAGAGATGGTGCAGTGGGTGGAGCAAGCAGGGCACTGGAATTGAGAGTCGATTCCAAAGGTGCTCCCGTACGTTTTGAAGGATTACGGGGAAGCTGTCTTCATGGCCTTCCATGGGAAGCTGTCTTCATGGCCTTCCATGGGAAGCTGTCTTCATGGCCTTCCATGGGAAGCTGTCTTCATGGCCTTCCATGGGAAGCTGTCTTATGGCCTTCCATGGGAAGCTGTCTTATGGCCTTCCATGGGAAGCTGTCTTCATGGCCTTCCATGGGAAGCTGTCTTCATGGCCTTCCATGGGAAGCTGTCTTCATGGCCTTCCATGGGAAGCTGTCTTCATGGCCTTCCATGGGAAGCTGTCTTCATGGCCTTCCATGGGAAGCTGTCTTCATGGCCTTCCATGGGAAGCTGTCTTCATGGCCTTCCATGGGAAGCTGTCTTCATGGCCTTCCATGGGAAGCTGTCTTCATGGCCTTCCATGGGAAGCTGTCTTCATGGCCTTCCATGGGAAGCTGTCTTCATGGCCTTCCATGGGAAGCTGTCTTCATGGCCTTCCATGGGAAGCTGTCTTCATGGCCTTCCATGGGAAGCTGTCTTCATGGCCTTCCATGGGAAGCTGTCTTCATGGCCTTCCATGGGAAGCTGTCTTCATGGCCTTCCATGGGAAGCTCCATGAAGGATTACAGGGGAGGCACTCTTCATGCCCGGGTACCTGCAGAAACAAGGACAGAGGGGGGGTGGAGGGGCCTATGCAGTGCGTGGAGCAAGCTGGGTTCTGACATTCAAGTGAGGCTTGAAAGTCACAGCGTTCTAAAGGATTATGGAGACGTTCTTGTAATGGCCAGGAAAATGCAGAGGGGAGGTGCAGAGGGGAGGAAGATTCATCCACTGCACACTGCAATGTGCACTGCAGGTATTCGATGCCTCCATCCCTCACAACACAGTACAGCCTATCCATAATGCTTCAGCCAGCTCAAGTGGGTAACACTAGCTGATGCAGCTACCTAGCTGCAGGAATCCCTGGCAAGAAATGCATTGGTGGTTGGTCAACAGGAAGAAGCAGCAGCAGCAGACGTGGAACAGCAGTGACCGAAAAGCTAAAGGCTTGACAACATTCGCCTCGAACTGCCCCCTGCTGTAGCAAGTACCACACTTACCCTTGCAGCTGCCGCACCCACCTTGGCTGTCACAAGAGTGAGCGGACGAGCCTCCACCTTCACCCGCCCCACAGTGGCCGGCCAGGTTTGTCCTGTGCGTTCCACCACCAGCACTGTGCTGCCGGCCGTTAGCTCAGAAAGGTACGCTGTGCGGCCGGCCGGCACGGCAACGTAGGAATGCACAGGGCCCTGAGGGAGAATACGGGGAGAAGAATGTTAAGGACAGAGTGATAAAGAGGAGGAAATACGGGTTGAAGGAATGATATGTTCCTCTGAGTCCTACAGAGGGGCGGATAAGTGGTTGCAGAATGATGTGTGTGTGTGTGTGTGTGGGTGCGTGCATGTGTGTGCGTGCATGTGTGCGCGTGTGCAAATGTGTGCGTGCATGTGTGAGCGTGTGCATGTGTGTGCGTGTGCATGTGTGTGCGTGTGCATGTGTGTGCGTGTGCATGTGTGTGCGTGTGCATGTGTGTGCGTGTGCATGTGTGTGCGTGTGCATGTGTGCACGCATGCATGTGTGTGCGCATGCATGTGCATGTGCATGTGTGTGTGGGGAACTGACCGCATTGACTCGGAAGGGCCGTGATGCGACGTAGTCCGACTGTAAGCACTCTGCATGCACGAGAAAGAGACCCCGCGCGAATGACCCCACCTGCTCGGCCATAGAGGGGGTGTGAGGAAGGGAGGGAGAGGACGGAAAGTGTGTGAGTGTGGAAGTGTAAGGGAGGGAGGCAGGGAGAGCGGGGGGAGAGAATGAGGAGTGAAAGGCAGAGTGGACAGTGTGGGGTGAAGAGGGAAGAGGAAAGGTGGAAGCAGGAAGAGGGGAGATGGGAAAAGTCAGAAGGGAGATGGGAGAGGGAAGTGAAGAAGGGGGTGAGAGGGGAAGGGTAATAAGAGAAACGAAAGGAGGGGGAAAGCGGGAAGGAAGCAGGGGGCTGGAGGAATAGGAACAACAGAGAACCTGGAACACGAAAGAAGAAAGTGGTAAAAGGCAACATGAAACGGCAAGGGGGGAAGCCAAAAGCCTGCAAGCCTCTATCCTCGATGTCACAATGCGATCATGTTCTCTGAGACGACCCTGCCTCGTCCCTCCCAGCCTCCCAGACTCCCAGCCCATACTTCCAGCCTCTTAGCCTCAGGATTACCAGCAGGCCCGCACCGGGGGGCAGCAGTGAGCAGAGGTCGACACACACGCGGTGCCCCATGCCTGCTGCCGCCACTGCTGTTACCGTCGCTGGTACCAGCTCCACCTGCGAGGCTGTGCGCGAGCGCTGCGATAGGTAGGACTGAAGGAGCGTGGAAGGGGGTGGGGAGGGGTGGGGTGGGTTGGGAGAGGTGAGAGTGGAAGGAGAGAGAAGGGGGAGAGGTGGGGAGGGAAGAGAACGAAAAGAGAATGCAGTCGGGGTGGGAGGGAAGAAGGTGGGAGGGAGAGGGAGGTGTGGGAAGCATGGTATGGTGCATGGGGAATGGTTGGATTAGAGAGAGTGTGTGTGAACGGGACAAGGAGGGATGGATGGGAAGGGAGAGAGGAGAAAGGAGACCAGAGAGAGAGGGGCAGGGAGAGAGGAGCGGGCAGAAAGAGTAGGGCAGAGAAATAGGACGGTAGAGAGAGAAAGGAGGAGAGAGAGAGAGAGCGGAGGGCAGGGAAAGAAGAGACATGCCTTGAGGGCGAAGACTTGTGAGGGGTCGGATGTGCGCAGCACAACGCCATCCAGCCCTGCCTCGAGAGACTGGCAGGCATAGCCACCAGGGGTGCACGAATGGTACAGCCGGCCGGTCCGGGAGAATGGTGAAGGCAAGAGGGCATGGCGATGGGAGGAGAGGAGTTGAGGGAGGGGAGCGACGCACAGGAGAGGGGAGTTTGGAAATATGGGCCTCTTTGAGTGTTGGTTCTTTGAGTGCATCTGGGACGGAGATGAGAGTATGGAGCGAAGCACTTGATTCGAAGCTCTTTGACTTGAAGACACTTGCAGGTATCGAGCAACAACGAGGGGACGCAAGGGAGGGATGCATGCGTGTGGGGGTCACAGGTAGCAGATAGCAGCGGGCAAGGAGCAGCTGACCTCGAGCAGCACTTGGGCGTCTTGAGCGGTGGAGGCGACCCCCATGATGGACGTGCGCGTGGGTGCAAAGGCCGCCACCGCGTTCTCCGCTGGGATCACCTGGTGGTGCGCGGACAGCACGGGGAGGGGGAAGAGGAAGGGGAAGGGGAGGGGGAGACGTAGGGGAAGAGGAAGGGGAGGGGGAGACGTAGGGGAAGGGGAAGGAGTTGGGGAAGGGAGTGGTCTGCAGCGTCCATGACCACAACGGCCTCTCTCGCCCCGCTAGCACATGACATGCCAATCCCCCCACGGCCCAACACCCATTTTGAGACGTCTCAAAAGGCGTCCATGAGCACAACGTCCTCTCTCGCCCCGCAGCACATGCCAATCCCCCCACAGCCCAACACCCCACGCCACACACCTGCACATGCACCCCCCCACACAGCCCCCATCCCTCCCCCCTTTCCCCCCACGGCGCGCACCTTCCAGTCCGCGGCGTCCATGACCACAACGTCCTCTCGCCCCGCCAGCGCGCACATCGCCTCCTGCTCCGCCGCGCTCGCCACGCGCACCCACGCCGCCAACCTCTCTCCGCCCGCCCCGTACACCGCCGCGCCTCTCCGCGTCACCACGCGCACGCGCCCCAGTTCTGCCGCGCGCCCACGCGTGGCGGACGAAGGGGACGGGGGACCGGGGAGAAGGGGGGGTAGGGCGCGATGAGGGCGAGGAGAGTTGAGAGGGACGGGACGTTGACTGGAGGTGACGGAGGAGTGTCGGCATGTTACGGGATAACATTTGCGTCGACTCAAGAGCGACGGTGTGAGACGGGAAGGGAAGTATGGGAGCAAGACACGGCTAGCATGGGGCTGCATTGCAGTGGGCAAGCTTGCATTGGAATGAACTGCATTAGACGGGTTGGTACGGCAGTGCGAGAAACACAGCCCACAGCACACAGCGAGCCGCCGCGTCACGTACTCTCGAAAGCCTCGCGATTCTCCTCCCCCGCGTTGGCACTCCCCTCCGTAATCTCCTCCCCGTCCTTCCCGCCCTTGCGCTTCCCCTTCTTCCCCGCTTCGCTCTCCCCTTCTTCTTCCGTTCCTTCTACAACCACCGTCCCCCATCCCGCCTCCAGTGCTGCCGTCACCACCTCCTTTGCTTGCGTCATCACCCACACCTCCTTCTCGCTCCCGTCGCCACTAGTTGTCGCGCTCGCTTTCGCATCCGTCGCTTTAGATGTAGTCATCGGTCGCACGTGCGACGCCATGCGAGAGGCCACCGTCTGATCGCTTGATCTCAAGCTCTGATCGAAACGAGGATGTTGCCAAATTTTTGTCGAGAACCGAGTCTGTCGCGCCGCTACAGTGTGCACGTGCAAGCGAGTGCTGGCTGAAATGCGGTAAAGAGGAACGCGTGCGGCGGTGGAGAAGAGAGAGACGGAAGTAGTGAAGAGAGAGGGAGCTTGAATAGAACGATGTGGAAGAGCCGTAGGGATCATGGCGGAAGGGCTTGAAAAGAATTTGAGAAGAAAATGCGAGTGGGGGAACAGGGATGTGGACCTTGGGATTCAGACAAACCTCGAAATTGCGTTGACTAGAAAAGTTGGGATTTCGCGGGAAAACGGAAGTGTTGCCTCAGGTTTGGGAATGGTGTTTCTTGTTCTCGGAGCGACGGTATCGTTCGGTGCTTTACGGTGCTGTGGTTAGCTGAACGTACCGTTATTTACCACGTAAACACTTACTGAACCGCACTGACTGATCAGACGGGCACACGAGGGGGACAAACCCCTAGGTATGGGATGTGATGTGAAATTGACGAGCAAAGCCTGCTAGAATTTTCCGAACCGTGTTCAAACAAATTCGACCTTCCTTCACACATCCAACAACCTTGTGTTCCCCATCCACGAAAATCAACCATTCACAGAACGACGAATGACTTCGCCGTCGCCACAATGCATGCACGAAAACCTTTCGCGCATTGCAGTTTCCATTGAGGAACCGTGGACAGCGGAAGTTACCTGTGAATCGCCAATTCGCTAAAACATGACTCAAGCTTCTCCTTCTGACAGATGATGGGTTTACAGCTGCTCCATCTCTTCTCTCTACCGCTGCTGCTGTCAGACCCAACCACACATATCGACTTCTCTCCCAACTTCTGCCAGCCGTCCCCAAGTACTAGAGCGGCTCAATTTAGCAGCACGCTTCGGAATACGGATCGCGGCGGTTGAATGAGCGGAAGTTTTACAGGCCACGTCATTAGCCTTCAGAATTTGTGTGTATACCCGCGTTTTTTTCTGGCTGTTGAAACAGCATACGTGTCCCAAATTGAGGACATTCTGAAAGGTTCATTCGACTGGTAAGATGGTGTTTTCGTTGGCGGTCCAATCAAACGTTGGGGCTCATTTGGCGGTCCAATTAGAGCTGACCTTCATGTTGTCGGCGATTCCTTATGATCCACAATCGTCCACGTAGTGCACGGTGGCATGTTTGGGACCACCTTCGTAGCCAGCAAAGCGAGAATTCCAGCCGCTCACTGATTCCAAACCGCATCCCAACGGTCCGAAATTAGACATTCCACGCATCTTCAGTCTCTCTTCGTATTCCGGCTCGTCTTCTCATAATTTTCAATTAGTTTCCGTAGCCTTCCTGGCACTTTTGCTAATCGATCTTGCCTTTCGATCGCGCTACCAGTATCGACGCTTCACCATCTTCTCACGTCGATGCCGTTCAGCCTGGCCGGGATCGTATGGTCGGATCGTGGAGCTTCATTACCTTGTCCGTAAGAGTTTCTGCAACGTAACGAAGCTGCGTCGATCTGCGTTTTTTCCTCGACCTCGTCGCGACGCCAGCTACGACGTGGCTGAAGCGACATCGATATCCCCGACTTGTTACGGTGAAGGTTGAACGTATCACCTTTCACCACCACTCACCACAGAGCCTCCTCCCTGGTAAAGGTTTGGTACAGGTTCGGTACAGGTGCGGTAAAGGTTCCCAAGGTGTTTGGTTGGTAATGGCTCTGTGGTGGGGCAGCACGTGTTTCTTTCACGTTTACAGTCTTCATTTCCTTTTGCTTTCTTCACTTCCGTTTACTGACATCGTGTTATTTAATATACTTGCAGTTGTTAATGGAGGCTGCTAGGCGCAACGGCTTTTAGAGGAGCAACTGCTTTCGTGGCTTTCCATTCTTCGTGGCGTACAACAGAGGAGCAGCTCCAGGGCAGGTGAAGGTTGAACGTATCAACCTCCACAATCCACTGAGCCACCCCCCTGGTTGAGGTTAGGTACAGGTAGAGGTTTGGTAAAGGTCCCCCTGAAGGTTTTTCGGTTGGTATTTGGCTCTGTTTTTTCCACGCTTCTTTTCGTTTTGCATGCTTTATTGCACTCCCTTTACTAATTCTTGTCTATTGCCAAACCTGCAGGTTCTATCTGAGGGTCTGCTGCGATGACTTCAGAGGAGCAACACCGTTTGGCGGCCTTCCATGCTTCGTGGCGTACAACAGAGGAGCAGCTCCAGGGCAGGTGAAGGTTGAACGTATCAGCCACCCACTCCACACTCCTCGGAGCCACCCCCCTTGGTTCAGGTCGAGGTGATGGTAAAGGTTGAGGTTGGTTAAAGGTTGAGGTTGGTAAAGGTCCCCCTTAGGTTTTTTTTATTGGTATTGGCTCCGTAGGCAGTGCGCACTTGTACCACACTTGCAGCAACGTCCGTTTTTTGCATGATCTATTCTCTGCTGTTTACTAATCTACTTTCTTTGATCTCCTTGCAGGTTATATCCAAGGCCCTAGAGCCACGCTCCAGATGGTGTCAGCGGAGCACCACACTGCCAAGCTTCAAGGCGTGGTGAACGTACCTGCCAACAGCACCTGGCAGGCGCCTCCTCTCTCTCTTCCAGCAGTAAGTCTCTTCGTTTTAGTCACTTTGCTCCATGTTGGTTCGTTTTCCTTCATTGACTTGGTTTACTTACTTGATTTTCCTGATTTCACTTGGCAGGTTGCTTTACCAAGGGATTTCAGCATGCTCAAGAATCAAGATCCATGGAGCACCATGGCCTGCTGAATCGCCTCAAGGCTTAACCATGGCAAGATAAGTTGCCAATTCTAGCCTTTTCCGTTGCTTTTGAGCTGACTTAGGGTGTTCTTCAATTCCCCATTGGCTGACTTGTTTAATTTCGCCTCATGGCAGGTTCTTCAAGCGCCATCTGCACGCCACGTACCCTCAAGACCTTGCGCACCGCTGCACACTCCAACAAGCCCAAGATCCATGGGATGGGAGCACCATGGCATGCTGAAGTCCCTCAACGGTCAACCATGGCGAGATAAGTTTTCAATCCCAGCCATTTCCATTGCTCTATCGTAGTACTCCACTGCTTACCCGTTTTCTTTCACCCTTGTAGGCCTTTTTGTTTTTTATCAAGTTGAGCTTCAATTCCCCATTCACTGACTTTGTTTTATTTTTTCCGTCTCATGGCAGGTTCTCCAAGCGCCCTCTGCACGTCCATGGATCCCAAAAATCTTGCGCTGCACTCCACACTCCAGCCCTTGCCTCCGGGCTCCATTTTTTATGCACATGGTTTGTTCTTGCAGTAGCCAGCTCCTGATTTTTTTGTTTGCTGATTTGCTTCTTTCTTTTTTTAAAAGAAATTGTACTAATATGTGTCTTTCTTGGTTTTCTCTACCTGCAGGTGCCTTCATTGGCAGCAAGGATGGTAGTCTCAGTGGTGGCCTTGCCAGTGCATGAGAGGGGGTGAAGCCTTGAGCATTGGCTGGGGACTCGATTCTGGGCCAAACCGGACTGGTTCTGTCCCCCTCCTCCCACACCACATGACAAAGCTGTCTGGCCAGCAGTGATGTTATGTGGTGTGGGCGGGGGTGGTCAGAGCCAGTCCCTAGTAGGGCACCCGCACGTCTTGGTCCTGGCAATGCGCAAGGCTCAGCCTTCCTCTCTGCCTGTGCAGTGCACTGCCAGTCCATGCCGGGGTGGGCATGGATGGCTTGCTGCCATGGAGTAGCTGTGGACCTATGGTTGATAGGATTAAGCAGAATATCATTGGCTGAGTGTACCTTTGAATATTATTTTGAATATGACATAGTGTTTTAGTGTAGCAATACTATAAGTAGGGCGTAGAATATCTAGCAATCTGAAATGTTTCTGGACAAGTATTCTTGTAAAAACGCAATTTTACAACATGTTCAGGTCTTGTGTTTCTTCTGTATTTGTTACGAGTGCAATTGAGTGAACGAATGAGAATTGCACTATCGAAGCAGGAATACAATGAGCGAAGGCATGAGTGAAGAATATATAGCGAAACTACAGTGGTAACGGTAATGGACTGTGGTTGTCGCGCGACGGGTCTGGGACTGAGGTTGGGAAAAAGTGTCGAAGCGGAGGCCCGGAGCGCGGGTTACCCGCCGAGCCGTGAGGTCGGGGTGCGATGTGCGAAGGTGGCGGGCGGATTGTCGATGCGAGGGTGGCGAGTGGTAACGGTGCTGACTGTGGTTCTACAGTGCTGTACGCGTTGAGCAGGGATGCGATGCGAAGTAAGGAAAAGGAATTTTCCTTACACTACCCCCCCTCCTAAGTGTTGGGAATAATAAGTCTTAAGCGCCTCTGTCGTGTCGAAACTCAGGACACTAGCGAAGCAGTCCGAATCGAAGCATCGCGAGTCAACCCTCGGAGGTTAGGGTAACCGCCTGGAGGTTACGAGAAGGTCAAAGGTCAGCGACCTTTGACTTGACAAATACAGCGCGACAGCAAGGACACACAACTGACTCGACATTGAGCAGTTGCCCGAGTCGCACTGTAGCGAATCGCAATAGTAAAACGGTTTTAACTTATCTATTCGTATTCCTTGTACTCTTATATAAACCTTTGTATTTGCTTGTTTAATTAACTTACTTTGCCCTCACATACTAGCGCAAGGTGGTTCAAGTACTTTCATTCAAACGCTTCCGCTACTACAATTCTATGTCAGAATATTATTCTTATGTTCTAGCCTGTAGTGGGGTGCTCTATAGCGAGTACAACCCTTCTAGGGTTTGCTATTTGTATCCCCATTTCTGCTAGTTCATTCCTCTTTCTTCTTCTAACTTTTGTCATGGTATCAGAGCAGGTCGATCCCCTTGGATCGATCCTGTGGGTGGGTTTCCACCTCGCTTCCGCTGCTACCTTTCCTTCCCGCCGTGCGCCCCGAGGCGCGCGGCGGTTTTCTTCCCGCCGTGCGCCCCGAGGCGCGCGGCGGTTTTCTGC